AAGAGCGAAAACCATCACCAAAGAAGGTTGTTCAGCTCTTAGAAGCAAGTCCATCTAGTGATGCAGAAAGACGCTGCTTTGACCACCTTAAAAGGTATTTAAAATCCCTGGAAGGGAATATCAGCACTTTTCTTAGATTTCTTACGGGAAGTGACATACTGAATTGCAGTACAATAAAGGTAACATTTAGTAGCTTGGATGGTCTTACACGTAGACCCGTGGCTCATACATGTGGCCCTGTTTTGGAGATTCCAAGTACTTACCAGTCATATAATGAACTCGTTGAAGAGTTCTCCTGTATTCAACAGTTTCTCTTAGCTTACTGTTTGGTACATTTCATACCATTGTGGCTTTTTAGACTAGATGTCAATACAAAGGTGGAGTTCTTGTTGATGTAAAACATTCAAGTCATTTTATTTTGTTGATGCTTTACAGTTTTTTTGGTATGTTGTAAGCCACATTTCTCACCACTGTTGTAACTTTTGAGACCTAATGGTAATAAAAAGTTGGAGTTGTTGTTTCTGATAACTGCTCACCACCACCTCCCCAACATGGAAAAGATTTAAATACACAGACAACAACCCACAGCAGGTAGCAAAAATACTGCTCTTTAAAAGGTGATCAAGGTTGACTGTACTACATTTCATTTGTTGTATTCATTTCCAGAACTTGAGAGTGTTTTTCTCAAATTGGAATTCCTTTTCTTTTCCTGTACTTAACTTAATAATTTAGATTTATTACATATGCAACAAGGTTTTAGTCATGGAATATAAAATCCTTTGAAATTTGTACATGCTAGATGGGCTGAATAGCATAGGATACTGAATAATAATGTTTCTTGCCTATTATGAATGGGGTCTATGCTCCTCTGCCACTGAACAGGTTTGAGTATCCATGCACTTATTGAGAATTGGACAGGCATTACTCAGCAGACAACCTTTGCAAGTACCTGAACACTTACTGTCCATAAATTCCTACGTTGTACTTTCATGTTAACCAAATTTGTTTTAGAGCTTACAACATTGTGTACACCAACTTGAAACTGAACACCGGTAGCCTAGACTAGAAGCATGTTTGTGCAAATTTCTAGACAGAAAATGGAGTCTACATTACTGACCACTGACACAGTTATAAGCTTAATGTCTTATACCACTTTCTCTTGCTCATACAAACTAAGTAATAGTAGTAAGTTCAGGTTTCACCCAGAGATGTCAAGCTGGCTTGGACACACGTCAGGTACAAATGGACACCATGGTTGCCATCATCTTGCAAAGGATCTACGTTACTTAAGAACTCCATTAAATCGTCAGGAAGAACAACATCAATTTCTGGCACTGTTATTTCATAATCATTTTGTTCTATTGGTTGTGGAGCATCAGGCTCATCATCAGCACCTGACCCGAGTAAATCAAAGTCTAAGCGTCTGATGATGGTGAGTATCCATTAGTAAATATTCCAGAGATGAATAGTTGCTCTGGACTGAAGCTTTGTGCTGTGCTAACTGGGTGGCAATTCCACTGGCTCTATTAATTCTTGGACTGAAAATGAAATGCAGTGCATGTACATGAACTTCGATGTCCGGATCAAGAAGGCCACTACTGTCCAAGCCATTGAAAATCAATGCAAAGTGTGATAACACTCCAATGTAAACGTCTCTATGGAGGCGTTCTACTCTGACATTGTGCACAGAGTTGCCGGTGAGCATGCTTCCCCTTCCTAGGCCCCTTTCCTCCATCATAAAGCGTGCAACCTCTTCGTTCTCAAGCCCATGATCACTCCTTGTTCGTGAAGGTAGACCGTGTCGTCTCACCCCACCCTTAAATAGATCAAGTAGCGTTGAAGCCAAATTGTTGTTAGCACAATGTAAGTAGATGATAAGCCTGCTGTATCCATCTATACATGCATGCACAACAAGCCGCCAGTGAATAAGCTTGTGATGCCCATCGATGTGCCACAAAGCTTTCGGTCCAGGTACACTGTACTTTCTACGATGGACTACCTGATTCCAACGAAGTGCAGTGCCGACTGGGTCTATTTTCCTCATTATTTCGTGGACCCTCCAGCGCTGCACTTGCAGACCTCTGCTCCTCAATGCACCTAGCATGCGACTCTGGCCAATATTGGGAGTAATCGATTTCACTGATTGAACGACAGCTGTAAGGTTGCTCTCTGAAATATCAGTAAAACCGCCCGTTTCGAGTCCATTATATTTTTTCAAAATATAATGTAATAAGAACATTAGAACATCTAAAACACATTTCAATTAGAATAATTTTTTCCGTACTTGTAACGCATTTTCTTTGCAATTAGAATGCAACTGAAGGGTTTAGAAAATAAATGCGAAAAAGAGCATGAATATTTCACTAAGTTAGCATCTAATATGTAAACTGAGGACAAAAATCTTGAGTTTAGAACATATTTATATAATTGGAAAGAAAAATTGCTAAACGGCATTTTTGTCCACTTTGGCGCCTCATAGAAAAGTGTATGATTTACATAT